AAGAGCCACAACCCGGACATTAATCGGGAGCTTGGGCGAGTAGAAAACTGGAGCGATAAATGTCTTCAAAATTGTTTACACTCTGCGGTCACCAATCATTCGCAAACCACGCCTCCTGAGGAGGAGGTCAATCTCTTTGCTGTTCCGGCAGAATATCACGACCTAGCGGCTGCTTTTAGTAAACAAAGAGCCTTATCTCTCCCCCCACATCGTCCATATGATTGCTCCATTGACTTGCTCCCTGGCGTCCCCTTGCTGTCAAGCCGTCTCTACAATCTCTCTGGACACGAAAGAGAGTTGAAAGAGTATATTAATAACTCCTTGGACTCTGGCATCATTCGCCCCTCTACCTCTCCTGTTGGGGCGGGGTTTTTCTTTGTTGCCAAAATGGATAAAACTCTTCGGCCATGTATTGACTACAGAGGATTAAACAATATCACTGTTAAGAATAAATATCATCTCCCCTTGATCGATTCTCTGCAGAACAGTTACAAGCAGCCACCATTTTCACCAAGCTCGATTTAAGAAATGCCTACCACCTTGTGTGCATTAAAGAAGGCGATGAGTGGAAAACAGCCTTTAGAACCCCCCTCGGTCATTTTGAATAGTGATGCCTTTCGGCTTAACCAATGTTCCCACTGTTTTTCAAGCCCTAGTGAATGACGTGTTGAGACACTTCATTGGTGATTTTGTGTTTGTTTATCTTGATGACATCCTTATTTACTCCCATGATCCAGCCCTGCACACGAAACAAGCTAGAATTGTGCTACAAAGACTTTTGTAGAATCAATTGTTTGTGAAAGCAGAGAAATGTGAGTTTAATGTTACCACAGTTTCCTTTCTGGGGTTCATTTTTGAAGACGGACACTGCAGGACTGATCCTGAGAAGAAGAGGGCGGTGGTTGAGTGGCCTATACCTGAGTCCAGAAAGCAGTGACAACACTTTTTGGGGTTCGCAAACTTCTACAGACGCTTCATAAAGGATTACAGTTGCGTGGCAGCCCCCCTCTCTCAACTCACTTCCTCCTCCAGGACTTTCAGTAGGACACCTGAGGCCGATACTGCATTCTGTAAATTAAAGAGACTTTTTCTTCCACTCCCGTTCTTTGTCACCCGGACCCCAAACTCCAGTTTATCCTTGAAGTCGACGCCTCAGACACAGGGGTGGGGGCAATACGTTCACAGAGATCTCCTCACAACAATAAGGTACACCCCTGTGCTTTTTTTTCTAAACGCCTGTCCCAAGCAGAGAGAAATTATGATGTGGGCAACCACGAGTTCCTAGCGGTTAAACTAGCCCTTGAGGAATGGTGGCACTGGTTAGAAGGCACTGTAACCCCCTTCTTAATATGGGCTGACCATAAAAACTTGACATACCTAAGAGATGTTAACCGTTTAACCCCACAGTCTCGCTGGTCCCTATTCTTTAATCATTTTAACTACATTTTGACTTTCAGACCCAGCTCAAAGAACATCAAGCCTGACGCACTGTCCTACCAGTTCGCCCCCCCAAACGTCCCTGAGCCTGAAGAAACCATCGTCTCCCCAGTTATGCATTGTTGGAGCTCTCACCTGGCCCATAGAGAGCAAGATCAAAGAGGCCCAAAGGACTGAACCTGACCCCAGCAAGGGACCTCCTGGAACCCTGTTAGTCCTGCCTTGCCTGAGGCCTAAGGTACTACACTGGCTTCACACCAACAAATTGTCCTGTCACCCAGGTACCGCCCGCATGCTTTCTCTGGCCAAGACACATTTCTGGTGGCCTTTCATGATGCCTGATGTTAAGGCCTTCGTCGCCGCCTGCCCCACCTGTGCCAGAAACAAGACGGGAACTCAACCCTCGGCAGGACTTCTTCAGCCTCTGCCCACTCCTAGCTATCCCTGGTCCCACATCGCCATTGATTTTGTTACAGGTCTGCCCCCTTCAGACAGTAACCCCACCATACTCACCATCATTGACCGTCTTTCCAAGGCCGCTCATTTTGTTCTTCTGTCCAAACTTCCCTCGGCCCTCGAGATGGCACAACTTATGGTCCAGAACGTTTTCAGGATTCGTGGCATCCCCATCTACGTGGTTTCTGACCGTGGTCCCCAGTTCGTCTCGCAGATATGGCACTGTTTTTGTAAATCCCTAGGGGCTTCCACCAGTCTCACTTCGGGCTACCGCCCCCAGTCCAATGGCCAGGCTGAACGCTGCAACCAGGAGCTGGAAACCACCCTGCGCTGCATTGCCGAAAGGAACCCCTCAGCCTGGATCTAACACCTGTTGTGGGTGGAATGCGCCCATAATGCCCACAGATCCACCGTCACAGGTATGTCCTGGTTTGAAGCCTCTCTAGGTTACATGCCCCCTCTTTTCCCCAGCCTAGAGACGGACTGCTCGGCCCCATCAGTTCAGCTTAATTTCAGACGCTGTTGACACATCTGGCATCAAGCCAGGGCAGCTCCAGTTTGATCCTTGGCCTTGTCCCCCTCTGGAGCTCTTCTAAGGATTTGAAGTGGACCCAAAGGAGATATTCAAATATGTAAGAAAAAGAACATCATCACATTAATATTGCCAGATCACCTGTTGACCTCCTCTGACCATCTCCCCCCTCTTCCAGGAGCTGCAGAGAAGCTACTGTTCATATTTCACTGTAAATATTAAACACTGTCACTTTTGTACTTGCCTGTGTCTGTCTCTTTCCGGGTCTCATACCACTCTGGGTTCCTCAAGTCATAACAGTACTAATGTGTGTTCATGCTCAAACAGTAAATATACTGTAACAATATATTGATTGGGCAGATTTTTGTCTAATATGGCAGTTTTAAACATATGTTTGGGCTGGAAAACCTCAACTCTATCTGGCAACACTGGTCACTCCAAGAAAATGAGAAATGATTCTCTGGGCACGGGAGAAGATGTTTGCCATGTCGTGAGTTATACAGTTTGTCTATTTAAATCACTAAGAATATACTTGTAACTAATGCAACTATATGGTTATCCTTGGTCTTGAGTTCAGACTTATGAAGAGTTTTTTGCCCATTTTTTAAGGCTTGGCATGTGATGAAACTGCTTCCAATTTAACAGTTGTGTAAATTTATTGTTGAATCACATGAAGTTAGGCCACTGAATGTCTGATTTCTTTGTTATGTAGCTTTGAAAATTTATAAAAGCTGATATATTAATTCAAAAGCAAACTTAAAGTTGCAGTATATAACTGTGATGAAAATATTTTATAATACTATTTTATATTTTATTTATTTTATTTGAGGTCTTGGTCTCGACTTGGTCTCGCCCTCCCTCGGTCTTGGTCTCGACTTGGTCTTGCCATCGCTCGGTCTTGGTCTCGACTTGGTCTCGGACCCCAAAAGTCTTGTTCTTGTCTCAGTCTCGGTACACTCTGGTCTTGGTCTTAACTTGGTCTTGGGTTAGGTGGTCTTAAACACAACACTATCTTAGATAGAGAACTTTACTAAATGGCTTTTCTATGTATGTGAATGTTTCTGTTCAGTACTCTGAGCCAACTTTGTTGTGAATTGGCATTATAGAAATAAACTGAATTTAATTTAATTAATACACTTTTATGGGATTTCCATTTCTTTGATGTTTGGTTACATCAAAGAGTTAAATGTAGAGTTAGAGGGCTATGATCTGATAGCATTAGTGTTTCATACTTTGTTTCACTAACTGTAGGAATTAACTGTCAAGAAATAATCAATCCTAGTGTAAGTATGGTGAACTGGGAAATAAAGAGTATTGCCACATGTTGGAGTACAGGGATTTCCATGGATCTATTTTTTTATATCTATCTATAAATTTCTGAACAAATTTTGCTGTTTTAGAAACTGCTGTTGGTCAACGTGATGACCTACTGTATCTTGAACCGAATCCAGCACTAAATTAAAATCTTTCCCAATTATTAGTTGATGAGAGTCCAAGTCGAGTAATTTTGATAGCAAAGAATTTATAAATTGCTTGTCATCAACATTGGGAGTGTATACATTTATCAATGTGACCAGATTGTCATAAAGTTTACCAGTGGCTATTACTGTTTATGCAATAAACTCTAGTGTTTTATTATTATTATTATTGCTGTGCCTCTACTCAGTCCCAAAGTTAGAGTGAATTATCTGTCCTATCCAGTTAATGTGTAGTCTAATATGGTCCTGATTTTTCAAATGTGTTTCTTGTAGAAAACCTATATCTGTAGTTTTATGAAAAGCTCTAAAATATTATCCCATTTTGTAGTTCAGTTCAGCCCTTTACAACTCCAAGTCACAAATTTGACTAAGTTGTGTGAAATAGTTTTTGCCAACCTGGTGTTATCAGTGGTCAAGTTTAATTATTACTTGGCAGTCGATTCCATTTTTGATGGTGTCCTCTGAAATATAACACAATCTGAACACAACAAGCCATTCTGATGCATGCTCAATAATCCAGGTAGAAAAATTTAACAAGCTCCTCTGGACGGATTCTTCTTTGTTGAAACATTTCATCTTTTATATAAAATACTTCTTCTGTTTGAGGAGCTGCAACAAACTCAGTCTTATAAATAGCACCTTCTCATAGTGGATCAACAAGTTTGCTAATGACACCCAGAACTAGTTGTTCACATACAAAAAGAGGACCATGAAACTAACAAACGACTGTTAGTGCCCTGATGGCCTCTTGCTATTCACAGAGGACTGAGTAATACTAGAAATAACAGTGTTGTAAGAGGGGGACAGTTGGACATGGAGGCGCTGCCCCTGTTTAATGATGGACGGTTCTATTTCGTATATGCTTTGCCCTTTAAGACTGTCGCTTGTGGAATTTATCCTGTCACACAAAGCGTTGCACTGAAAAATTTAGTCCACGCCCATCTGTCGTGTGGGCTCCACCCGGTCCGTATAAATTACATTGAGAGCGGGTAATCGGCTCCCATTTTTCTTCAGCAAGCAACTAGCACTGATCTTCCAAAAATTTAATGTCCAGCACCAACACCATCCGCCTGTGCCCGTCCTGCAAGACCGGCTACATGTTGAGCTTCGACCGGCTCGACACCTGCGAAGGATGCCTAGGTCCCCGCCACGCCGACCTTGCCTCCTCTTGCCGCCTCTGTGACCTCCTCCCCCCTGAGGACAGGCAGAGGCGAGCAGCCTTGTTCAAGGCTAACATCGAGGAGTGTCTTTCCGTGGCGGGGGACTGCTCGCTGGACGACGCCATTGATTTTTTTGCCGCCGGGTCTCATTGTGAATCAGATGGTTTCTACAGGATAGGCGACGTCAGCAGCCTCGCTGCTCATTCCCTCCCGGAGAGCATAGTGTTGGAACGGGAGGGGCCAAGCAGATGCTCACCCCTCCCGGGCCTTTCCACTTCAGCGACCACACCGCTCCCAGCCGTCGGTGCCCTCCTCGCAGAGCTGCCCGGCATAATCCGGGAGGCAGCTGACATGAAAGGACTTTCTGCCCCTCTCCTCCCCCCCACCCAGATTGGATGATCTAGCGGGAAGATTTGGCTCCACCCCGGTCCGCCGCCCTGACCCCATCTGGCCTCGTTTCCCAGCAGTGACGTCCTAATGGAACTAGGCTGCAGCCGGGCCTGGTAAATTGAGAGCGCCCGTCTCCACCTTTGCGCCCATCACCAAAGTGGAGGGGTTTACTGAGCGGAATTTTCCCTCGGTACCCCCCCTGGAGCCAAGCCTAGCGGAAACTCTCGGAGCAAAAGTGTCCAGGTTGGACCAGCGTCCCGTTCCTCCGGGGAAGCATGATCAGACGGTGACATCACTCTCCAACCGAGCCCACCAGTATGCATTCCAGGCAGCCGCAGCGAACAACAATGTCACACTGCTAGCATACAGCATCTCGAAGAGGCTGGAGGAAACAGACCTGCCTGAGGAGACAAAGAGCTCACTCTGTAAGGCATCTGACATCATCCTCAACCTGCGTGCCTCCTCTGCTGTCTGCCTGTCTTGCATCGCCACCTGGATGACAATGATCCAGCGGTCCACCTGGCTCTGACACTCCCCCTTCCTACCGGAGAAGCTGCAGAATGACCTGCTGGAGGGCCCCATCACGACGGACGTGCTGTTCTGAGGCAATTTCAAGGCCATACTCAAAAAAATCGAAGAAGTCGGAGGAGGTGTCGGAGACTGTGCGCCACCTGTTGAAGCCGCACTCCTCCTCCCGCCCCCCTGCCCACTGGAGGGATCGTCGTGGCCAGAGACAGCAGCGTCCTCCCGCCCCGCTCCACCGCCGGCCCCTCCCCATCCAGAGAACAGCCCTTCTCATCCCGGCAACCAGTGTCTCAGCGTCTCCCCAGAGACCGCCAACAGGCGCCGCCCTGGAACAACCAGCCGCAGGGCTCACGGGGGAGAAGATTTAAGAAATGACTCCTTGCAGAGGATTTGTGTGTATGCAATGATGACACGAGTTTTGAAATAAAACAAAAACATCATTCAGAGAATAAAGTGTCTGATTTCAGCCTGACTGTCAGTTCGAATGATCTCACAGCGGCTTCTCTGCATACATCCTCCACACAAAACAAGCCAGTGTCCTCAAAACAGGTTTTTAAAAAGTCACCGCAGCTCGAGAAAACACACACAATGCCCGCTGGACACAGTAGCAAAATGAATTTTTCTGGCAGACCGAGTCCAGGACAAAATCTCGCTCTCAGCCCAGGGTGTGTTCTGCCCCTTCTGACCACAGCGGAGACAAACGCATGTCCCTGCGGCGGTGGCAGCCCCCACCCAAGCGATGCCTCATGGCTGAGGACGCGCACGCCTCCCCTCAGCGCATGTCAGCTCACATCAGTTCTGATGTGAGCCCGCAGCCCAGCAGCGGCACAGAGACTTTGACTTGGCTGGCGTCTGTAAAAGACATGAAACAACACAAAAACGCGTGCCCGCTTCCAGAGCATTACGCGGAGTGGCAGCGAGCGTGCTCCCTGAACTTCTGGATGAGCCGTCTTATCAGCAAGGGTTACACGCTGCAGTTCGCAGCTCAACCCCCACTGTTCAGAGGTATTATGGAGACGGTTCTGTCATCTTCAGAACAGATCTCATCCATTCATGCAGAAGTTCAGGATCTACTGATAAAAAAATGTAATTTCCAGGGTTCCCAATTGAGAGGAAAACATAGGGTTTTACTCACGTTACTTCCTCGTTCCGAAACGGACCGGTGGGATGAGACCCATCTTAGATTTATTCATTTTCAACAAGTCGATTTTGGAGAGACAGTTTCACATGTTGACAACCAGACAGCTGTTGAACAAAATTCACCAGAACGACTGGTTTACCTCCATCGATCTCAAAGACGCTTATTTTCACATTCCAAAGCACAGAAAGTTCCTGCGCTTCTCCTTCCAAGGGACTCAGTACCAATACAACAGGCTCCCGTTCGGTTACTCCCTCGTACCATGCACGTTTTCAAAATGTGTGGAGACGGCTCTGCAGCCACTACACAGAGCAGGGATGAGAATTCTGTTTTACCAGGACGATCTGCTGTTGCTGACCCGATCCAGGCAGGAAGCAGCGGTGCTAACCAAAGCGCTGACGTCACACCTGTTAAATCTCGGCTTCGCCCTTTGGCAGGGCAAAAGTGGACGTATTTGCCACGAGTGAGAACGTCCAGTGCCAACTATGGTTCTCACACAGCCCACGGCACGATCCTCCGTTAGGAGTGGACGCGTTTGCCCACAGCCCGTGGCCCGAAATGCTCCTTTACGCTTTTCCCCCAGTCACTCTAATATCACGGTTTCTGAGCCGAGTTCAGGAGGAATAACCGTCTGCCATTCTGATAGCCCCCGAGCGCGTGAGCGCCCCGTGGTTTCCAATCCTGCGACGTCTGTTATCGGGTCGTCTGTGGAAACTGCCGTGGAAGGACGATGCTCTCCTCCAGGCAGGAGGAGCGATCAGGAGCCACCCAGAATTAGGCCAGCATCTTTGGGTCTGGCCGTTGAGCGGAGCCACTTAGAGAAGATGGGTCTCTCTCAAGAAGTAGTGCGCACGATCCAGAATCCACACGCTGCCTCCGCCACAGCGCTGTACACATCGAAGTGGACAGTTTTTCAACACTGGTGTATGGGAAAAGGTGTAGGGCCATCTCACGTCCACTAGGTGGTGTGATGTCCTTTTTGCAGCAGCCGATGGACAGAAATCTGGCGTTCAGCACAATTAAAGCGTATGTTGCAGCCATCTCTTTCTGTCACGAAAGCTTCGGTGACAAAACAGTTTTTCCGATTAAATTCTTGTCATTTAAAACAGCTGTAGTGTGCTAAGGGCTAGGTTAGCTGCCCTTGACTACTAATTATTTAGATATAACGGGTTCTCTCTTTTTCGAGTTAAATTACTGCCATGTGACCGAGATAATGGTGAATGGATTGTTTAATCAGTGACATGAGACGTTAATTTCCTTTGACCCATCAGAATAAATGTGGTCATTTATTGAACAGAATCAAAATTTAACATCAAAACATTGTACACTTGATTAGCTGATCTGGTTCTGATTAATAAAACTTGGCACGTTTTACTTAATAAGACAACAGGACTTGAAGAAGGCATCTAGATTACTGGCAAAATAGAAGAGTTTTAAAGGAAAAATTGAAGGAGTTTTAAAGGAGAGAAAAGATGGAAAAAAAGGGGGTTTCTGTTCGGACCGCAGAATGGCACGCTCCCTTCAACACCAGCTCAAAACCTCCGGTACACTTGGTGCGTAACAACTCGTTACCTTTGCAGAAGATAAATCAACTTCGGTACAGAGGTCCATTTCAACGCTACCTTTCCAGCGTCTCCGGTCAGGGCGGCTGGCCATGTCAGGAGTCGTGCCGCTTACTCCATTCAACAAACACACTCATCTCCCGGGTGGATACACAGCAAGCTGTCAGACCGGCAGAGTTTCCACTCAGATGTGGAAGAATCCATCACAGACTCCGAAGACGGAGTTTAAGACTAGACTTCATCAGAGACCCACTTGAAGACTCAGAAGAACTTTAGAGACTCGAAGCCTCCAGAAGACTCAGGAGACCTCGGCAGACTGACTGAGAAGTTCCAGGAAGTGTGGACTCTTAAAGAGTTCTCACTTCCGGTCACTTCAGTGAGGCATTTCAGCTGCTGCTGCTGCTGTGTTCTTTTTTTCTCCCTGATTGGTTGGCAGCACTAATCATACTCACCTGCTACAGATGACTCATCTGCTCACTGGATTCACTGTGGATCAGGACTTCGCTGAAGCAACGCTTAAGTTTGGTAAAAGCAGCTCAGCCTGAACTTAGTCTTGGTTATCTGTGCCTGTTAATGTTTGTTTGTTTGTTTATTTACCTGCCTCCAGAGTGGAACTCCCTGAGCCTCCTGAGAAACACTCCCCTGAGAGCTGAGAGCAACTCACCTGAGACCATCTGCACGCTGCCTGTCTGCCTCCTCCACAAACCTGTAAATATTCACCAGTACACCTGCACCTGTAAATACACCTGGAACCTGGAAACTCACCTTCAGAGCTGAAGACTCTGCACCCACCTGTAAGAAGACATTACTCTCCAACTTACCTGACAAATCTGCTCCACAGAAAACTAATCCTCGTTCTTACCATTTTCAGATCCCGACCCCATCCTTCCCTGGTTTAAATAAACATATTTTTATAAACTTTTCTGAGCCTGCTGTTGTTCTGGGTTTACCCACATTGACCTCGTTTAAAATCTGATAGTTTGCTTCAGCCAAGCAGCATGTCTGTGGGTAAATCTGGCAACACTCGGACTGCGAGCTCTACACAAGTTTATGAGAGTAAGTTTGCTGAACTTGATAAAATGTATCAACATCTTTACCAACTTCAACAAAATACCACCGCCATTTTAAATCAAGTTTCTCACAGTGTAGCTGCCTTAGACAGCAAGATAATCAACTTAATTCCTGCCACTCCTGCTAACCCACCTTCTGTTCCCAGCCTGTCTCCAAGTCCTGTGTTGCCATTCAGAGAACCAGATCTGAGAACTTCTGAACATTTTGAAGGTAATATCAGTCAATGTGGGGGATTTTTGCTCCAATGCAACTTGGCCTTCGCTCGCTCCCCATCTCTGTTTCCGCATGATTACGCTAAAATAACTTACATTGTTTCAGCATTAAAGGGAAAAGCTCTCCGTTGGGTCCAAGCGTTTCTAACTGCCCATTCTCCTGGTTCTCTAACTTCTCAAGCTTTCATTCAAGAATTCCAACGTGTATTCGACCATCCACTCCACCAGGAGGCGGCCGCAAAACAACTATTATCACTACGACAAGGAAGTAAGTCGGCAGCCGATCACTCTGTGGACTTTCGTATTGTGGCTGAGGAGGCTGGATGGGACAAACTAGCATTAAGAGGTACATATATTAATTATTTAAATGAGAACATAAAGGACCAGCTTACCTCCCGGGATGAACCCGGGAGCTTGGATGAATTAATCGCTCTCTCTATCCGCATTGACAACAGAATAAAGGAACGTAGAAAGGAAAGAAACTACGTTACCCATAATCCTCAGCATGTTTTTTTCGGTCAACCGAGAATAACAACACCAGAACTTCCTCATCGCCCGAATCTGAACCTGAACCGATGCAGGTGGGGAGGACCCGACTATCTCCTGAGGAAAGACAGAGATGATATGCCACGAAGGTCTGCATTTACTGCGGTAACAAGGGACACTTTGTCGCCACTTGTCCTGTACGGGGTAACGGACCGGCTCGGCAGTAAAACAGGGGACGCCGCCGAGTTCATCCCAAATCTCCCCTGCCTTGCTTCTGTCTGTACCTGCTACCATACTTCATGATCAAATTAAATTGCCCGTTTCTGCTCTTATCGATTCTGGTGCAGAACAAAGTCTGATCTCCAGAGACATAGTGGAACAACTCCAACTCCCCACCGTACCACTCACCTCATCTCGCTCCATCACAGGGCTAACTGGACAACATCTTGCCCAAATCACTCACAAGGTCTCGGATCTTCACGTTGTTGTCTCTGGCAATCATCATGAGCTGGGTGAGTTTCTTGTCTTTGATTCACCCATATCTCAGTTAATTTTTGGGTATCCCTGGCTCACCAAACACAACCCCATTTTTAATTGGTCAGAACGTCATTTAGAGAGTTGGAGCAAGGATTGTTTAATGTCCTGTCTTAAAACGGCTGTCTCTACTCCCGTTAAAGGGAGAGAACCCCCCAATGGTATCGATTTAAATAAGGTTCCCCCAGTTTACCATAGCCTGGCCCACGTTTTCAGTAAGAGTAAAGCCTTGACACTACCCCCGCACAGACCTTACGACTGTGCTATTGAACTCCTTCCTGATGCTACATTTCCATCAGATCGGTTATATAACCTTTCAGGCCCCAAAAAGGAGTCTATGAAAGATTACATCGAAGACTCCTTAGCATCCGGCATAATCCGCCCCTCCACTTCCCCACTAGGGGCAGGGTTTTTTTTTGTAGACAAGAAAGATAAGACCCTCAGACCCTGTATTGATTATAGAGGATTAAATGCAATCACTGTAAAGAATAAATACCCCCTTCCACTAATTGATTCAGTTCACGATCAGCTCCATTCTGCAACCATATTCACCAAGCTAGACTTACGCAATGTGTACCATTTGGTAAGAATAAAGGAGGGGGACGAATGGAAGACTGTTTTTAAGACCCCCCTTGGACACTTTGAATATTTGGTGATGCTTTCGGACTCACAAATGCACCCGCTGTTTTCCAGGCTCTCATTAATGATGTCCTACGAGATTTTTTGGATGACTTTGTTTTTGTCTACTTAGATGATATTTTGATCTACTCCCGTGATGAAACAGTACATGTTAACCATGTTAAGGCTGTACTACAGCGTTTGTATGAGAATCAACTATTTGTAAAAGCCGAAAAGTGTGATTTTCATGTAACCTCTGTCCCCTTCTTGGGTTTCATTTTGGAGAAGGGACAGTTTCGTGCAGACCCAGAGAAGGTCCGAGCTGTCACTGACTGGCCAGTCCCTAAAGACCGCAAACAACTCCAGCGGTTCCTGGGCTTCGCCAACTTCTATGGACGGTTCATTCAAGATTACAGCCGGATTGCTGCTCCCCTCACACAACTCACCTCCACATTAAAAACCTTTTGTTGGACTCCTGAGGCAGACACAGCGTTTGGTGAGTTGAAAGCTCGTTTCTCCTCTGCTCCTATTTTGTGCCACCCTGACCCCAAGAGGCAATTTACTGTAGAGATTGATGCCTCGGATCTCGGTGTTGGGGCAGTCCTGTCCCAACGTTCAGACGCAGACAACAAGGTCCATCCCTGTGCCTTTTTCTCTCGGCGACTCTCCCCAGCTGAAAAGAACTATGACGTGGGCAATCGTGAACTATTGGCTATCAAATTGGCTCTGCAAGAATGGAGACACTGGCTCAAGTGTTCCAAAACACCTTTTGTTATTTGGACTGACCATAAAAATCTAGCCTACTTGCAGAACGCTAAGAGACTAAACCCCAGACAAGCCCGATGGTCCTTATTTTTTGCCAGATTCAATTTTTCCATAACATACATACCCTGTTCTAAAAACGTTAAACCCGATGCTCTCTCCAGACAGTTTTCACCCTCAGGTTCTCCCAAGACCAACTCAAGCATTCTCCCATCCACTTGCTTCGTGGGGACCCTCACCTGGGATATCGAAAACACCATCAGATTGGCACAAGCTTCTGAACCTGACCCTGGCTCTGGACCACCTGGAAGGAGGTTTATCCCCAAATCAGTTATTGGTAAGGTACTGGACTGGGTAAGAGGGGGACAGTTGAATGCTGTTATTGCTAGTATCACTCAGCCCCCTGTGAATAGTAAATAGCCATCAGTGTGCAAATGATCCATTGTTAGGCTGATGGTCCTTCTTGATCATGTGAGCAGCTGGTTTTGGTTGTCAGCAGCAAACTGGTTGATCCACTCTGAGAAGGTGCTATTTAAGAGACTGAGCTGAATACAGCACCTCAGACTGAGGAAGTCTTTCGGATGAAAGACGAAACTTTTCTACATTTTTTTTGTTGTTGTTTTGCTTTGTTTTTTTGAATGTCCAGAGGACCAGATTTAACTTTTTTAGATGTTTCTACCTGGATTATTGAGCATGCATCAGGATAATTTTGACAATGTATACAAAAACTGTTGCTAGCTACTGTTCTTTTTTTACTTTTTAAACTTTTGAATTCAAATAATCAGCTGACTGGAGTCACAGAGTAAATATTTGGTTCGAAGGCAAAAGAAGTGCAGAGGTGGTGACATTGTGAAATTGTTTCTCTGAGTGTTTCAGGTTCTCTGTTAGTTTTTCCACATGCAGACCTTTTTGTTATTCTGGACAAGCATCCTGATTCCTGGAGCCCTGCCAACTGAGGTCAGAGTTTATTAAAGTCAAACACTTTCCACCATACTGGTGGACAAAACATAACCAATGCCTGTGGGAACTTCTTCCTCACCACAACAGTAATTACATGACTTGCGTGATCAGAAGGATCAACTTTAAAGAGTTTGTGTGTGTTTGTTGTTCTTGTCTTTTCCAGTTTTTTAGACCCCTCGTTTCTAACACTGATGGTGACCAAAGACGGAGGCAGGTTGTAACCTCCTGGTGAGTGAGTGAATTGCAGCAGAGAAGTGGACTGACCATATCTCAGTTTCTTTGTGCAAACAGCAGAGAGAAGCAGGCTGCCTCTCCATCTCTGTGCCTGTTCCAGTGCCTTCCTTTCCTCTGCCTTCTTATGAAAATGTTGTCAGTAAATGACCAAAGGAAGAAGGTCAACCCTCTTATCCTTCCTGCCTCTGCTCAGCTGCTTCCCACCATTGTTTGCTGCTGCACAGCAGATGAGTAACACATGCACATTTGGCTCATTTGGTAGAGAATCGTTTACTGGTCGTTTAGATCATTTAGAATCTGCACACTACTGATGAATTATTAGTTTATCTAAGCAATAATCAATTGTGCTTTTCTGATGATGATTGTTTAATTTAGAAAAAACAAGAAACTTTTATTTTGTCTTTTAAAATGTAAATTGACAGTACTTACTATATATAGTGCTTTTCTATCTTATCAAGATGCTCAAAGCACTTTACACTACAATCTGTGCCCTCATTTACCCATTCATTCAACACTACTATTTCTCTACAAAGATTAATCAGTGCTTTATCACATTCATACACCAATGGGACACACATCAGAGGCAATGAGGGGTTCAGTGTCTTGCCCAGGGACACTTCGGCATGTGACTGGTGGAATCAACCCACCAACTCTCCCATTGGAGTTCAACTGCTGTAACCACTCAGTCACAGCCGCCCTAAATGAAAACAGGAAGTAACTGTGGTGCTTAGTCCTTGAACGAGGTTTATTCAAACTGATGGTTGAACCATTAACCTTGCATGTATATAAGATATGTACAGGTGCTGGTCATAACAATATTGTTAAAAAGTTGATTTATTTCAGTAATTCCATTCAAAAAGTGAAACTTTTATATTATATTCATTCATTACATTCAGACTGATATATTTCCAATGTTTATTTATTTTAATGTTGAGGATTATAACTGGCAACTAATGAAAACCCCAAATTTAGTATGTCAGAAAATTAGAATATTACTTAAGACCAATTAAAAAAAGAATTTTTAGAAATGTTGGCTATCTAAAAAGTATGAACATGAAAAGTATGAGCATGTACAGGACTCAGTACTTAGTTGGGGCTCCTTTTGTCTAGATTACTGCAGCAATGCGACGTGGCATGGAGTCGATCAGTCTGTGGCACTGCTCAGGTGTTATGAGAGCCCAGGTTGTTCTGATAGTGACCTTCAGCTCTTCTGAATTGTTGTGTCTGGTGTATCACATCTTCTTCTTCACAATACACATGTACATGTTGTATAACACAATCATTGTTCCACATTAATCTATTGCATTGATGTTATTTTACAGAAAAGAGCTGTAAGAATTATCACCAGAAAGCATTACTGTCACCCATCAAGCACATTATTTTATCAACTGAAGTTATTGAAGTTCCATGATTTGGTAGATTACAGTATTTTATCAGTTTAGAAAGGCTCAAAATAACACATTACCATTAAATATCCAAAGAAATTTTGTTAAAAGACAAAGTTGTTATAATCTTAAGAGGCTAGAGATATTTGTTAAACCAAAATTCAGAACTAGTCTGAAGGGAAGGTCTACCTCAATCCAAGGAGTTGGATTGTGGAATGTTCTAGAGAGTGATGTTAAAAATGCCAAGTCAATGTGTACATTTAAGAAAAAGATCAAAGCTGAATTGTTAAAAAAGTTTATATGAAGTAGCTTAGTGTGTGTTTTGTATTAGAATTAGAAAAATTAGAAAGAGTTATTCATTTTGTTCTGTTACTTGAAAATTATTATGATTGAAATAATTGTTTGAAAAAGGGGCAGATATAATAAGATTTTTTCTTCTTTCTGCTGCCTTTCATTTTAAATCTTTTGTATCTATTTTTATATTGTTATGGAATTGTTTTGTACTTTTTTTTAAATGAATAAACTTTATACCATACCATACAATACCCCATAGATTCTCTATGGTGTTAAGGGCAGGCAAGTTTGCTGGCCAATTAAGAACAGGGATGCCATGGTCCTTAAACTATTGGGGTTGTGTGTGTGCGTGTGTGTGTGTGTGGGAGAACTCACCTTGCAGATGCTGATTAGTTGAGACGGAGCTCCTGGGTTGCCACCTGTTTTCCATCTGGCTGACGAGTCCAGCTGCTATTTAAGCCTGTGTGGAGGTTCCAGTCTTCGCTGAATCATTGTTCACCTTGGGGTATTATGAGACAGCCATTTTAGTACCTTTCCTTGAGAATTCTGGACTGTTCAACTCGTGTTTTTCTTTGATTTCAAGGCAAGCTTCGGACACACCTTGAGCCTCAAACCAGACGGACCTCCTCAGTACTGGACTCCTCTAGAAGCTCTGTTCTCCAACCTGTCACTCCACCTCAACTACAACCCTCATCAAGAACCCTTCAAGGTATCTTCAGTTCAAGAGGACTTTTTACCTGTTGGACTTCCTCCTCCTTGAGTCTGCCTCCTCGTCGTCATCCTGTAAGAAAGAGAAAACTCAACTTCACTTCTGAATATTCATCTCGTCAAAGCCTCATTACTAATACTCTGCACTTTGCCTTCCAGGAACCCCGAACCCCCTTTCTTGCACTGTAAATAAAATCACTTAAACGATT